CCTAGCCGGTAGTGTATAAATGTAGACACCATATAACAGCGTGCGACAGTCAATTCTACCCTCAAAACAATTAACAAACTCACGAAAATCGGGGCCAAATAAATCTGCACTTTTAGTTTTTCTCTCTGACATCAGGATTTTTCTTAAAAGGACTTGGAAATTTCAAGGATACGATAAATTAAAAAATATTTTAAAAAAATTCTGTGCAACATAGAATAACAATGTGGGTGTCAAATAAAAGAGAACAATCTGTGAGATTGAAAGAAAATGTCACGCCTTGATGAATATGCTGTCAAATTAACAGCTGATAATTGTAAACAAATGCAGTTGCAATAAACTGAGATAGTCGCGCCGATAATATCTCCAATTCAGTACAAGTAGCTAGGTACCATTTATTTTTTGTAAATACATACGGATCATACTTTGTATGGAAGAAAATGCGCGAACAAAAAATTGTCAAAAATCAACGGTAAGACAACGCTACTTCGAACTTCAACTTTGTTCTGCTAAAATTTAACGGGCTACAAAATTGCATACTCAAAAAATTCAAAAATCTGATTAAAAAGTTTAAAATTTTGAGCAACATTTGTTAAAATTCGTCGAATTTTTTTAAATGCTCTACAAAGTTTGAAATTTTGTTTTACATGGTTTTTAGACAGTAAGCCATATTTTTATAAAAAATAATAACAATTTTTTAAACAAATAAAAGTAGCCAAAACTTGCTAAAATATCTTTTCACTATTTACATTTTCACCACCGTATACATTGTTTGTATTCATTTTTGCGACCATTTTGCAATTATTTTCCTCTTTGTTTTGTCTTAAATAAAACTTTATTAAAAGATGTTATGTCTTTTTATTCCAAAAACAAAGTCTTATGTTCAGATTCGATGCTTTAGAAATGTTCCGATTTTATTCCACAGTCACATCACTCATTACTTAACACAAAGTGTTTTGATTTCTGCATGTCGGAACATATGTTTTTGGAATTATGTATTATATGTATATGTATATGTTGGTATTATGTATTTAGGAAATCCATGCAATGGGGAGTTGTGTGCTTAACTAGAATTGCGAAGAGGATTGTGGAATTGCTCGGCTACCAGTTGTGACTACAGCTGTTCGACGACTAAATTTTGGCACAAATCCTTCATTTTAGACAGAGGCGCAGTAAGATAGTGATCCGTGTGTAGGTTGGCTCTTCAGATGAAGCGCACGTCAAGGACGCTCAAAGCGTATCTTCCATTTATCATAACGCTTTCAATTTGGTTCTTGTTTCTTTGAACGGGGACACCCAACTCGTTTAAGTCGTGCAGCGTGATTTTAAGAGCGACTCAAACGCTATTCTTCTTCCATGCGCTGATAGAGTCTCTCCTTGGTCACATTGTCACTCATGTGTGTCAGGAAGTGCGCCTAAATTAGGCTATTATTGTCTTGGCCTTGTGAAAATACTTTTACCGTCGCCATACCAAATTTATGCGCTGCTCATCTATCATTTTTAAGCTGCGGTTATGTCAGCCTTGTACTATTTATGCCATCTAGCAATTGGACACGCGAAGTTCCCTTACAAAGGGGTTTAGACATTCCAAGTGCATATCCGTAAATCATAGTGTTTTTTTTTTAACTTAGGCGATCAGTATGTAAGCTTTCTTTGGTCTTCTCGTGTGATATTGGATTTTTTTCTGTGGCGAGCCCCTAGCATATCTAAAAGTCTAAGTTGGCTCAGAATAGGAGATCTCACAGTTGTATATAAAACTTACACAAACATTATTACAAAAATTGCAAAGGCATATTTATTTTGGCGTAGCATTTTTTTATTATTATTATTTTTTATTCATTCATTCAGACTTTCATTAACTTCACTATCCGCCTTAATATTTTAATATCTTTCTTTTTTTGTTATGCTATATTTATACGAGTATGTTCTCTCGTTTTGGCTGGAATAAAACAAAACAATCACCATTGTTTATTCTACTCCACTCTATTGTGTTGTGCCACATTCGTTTTAGAACTAGTAAATGCGTTTGAGTTGCACCATAATTTCTACACACTAATGAATGGTTTTATGGTTTAGCTGCTAAGCATTCAAAAGCGTGCGAATGAATGCAAACCCACTACATATTTGTATATGTATATAAAAGTAAATTAAACACACACATGTACATAGATACGTATATGGAATTTCCCACCTCTCTCTGCTTATGACCGCTGGTACAATTACATAGTTTTCTGTTGGCGCTGCTGGTGGCAGCCAAGTGGTTTTAGTTCAAGTGTCAAAAACTGTATTGTTGCACCTACTATTCGGAGGCAGCTCAGCTCACGCCTTTAAAATGCTCGCGCGCGTATTAAGTCGGTCAGGCAGCATATTTTTCATTCCAGTACTAAATATTTTATTGTTTTTACGCTGCTTTTGTTTCGCCGCATTGCTGTTGGTGAATGAATGCTGCTGGCAACCACCTAAAAGTTGTTGAATGCTTTGGTGTTGTAAGTTAGTTGGTTGGTTGCTTGGTTGGTTGCTCAACTACTGCTGCTAGTGTTCTTTTAATGCATGGATTATGAGAATTCTGTGGCCTTTTTGCGTGGCTAAAGTGTTTAGTTGAGTTTAGCGTTTTTCGTTTCATTCTTTGTTTTCTAATGTCTTTCGCATGAAATAAATATTTATTTAGTGTTTTTTGTGGTTGGAGTACTTAACTTAATGTTAAAACAACAGTTTTTGAAATGGTTGAGAGCTGCACAGGTTGAGCAATAAACTGAAGAATATGTGCCCACTTCACTTAAATACGGAAGGATGTAAATATTTTTATGAAATTGTTGTGCTAAAGCGCTTAGCTAAGGTATTTATTGCTTATTGTTTATTATGAAACTGATGTCGTCTTTTGGTCTTATTAATATCGTCTCTTTCGTGATTTCGAAATCAAACAAATGCAAAGTTCTGGTGCAGTAGGATGGTTCCGGGTCAGAAGTCCACGCATATGGAGAAACGTATTGATCGACATTCACCAGGCAGCGGCCAAAAACGATTAATTTGCATCCGGGTCAATAGCTCAAGAGAAGTATAATCCCCAGTAAAAGCTGAGTGCTGTTGTTAGGAACAAACTCTAATTAATGGTAAAATAAAGCTTCGAATGTGACCCCCTTCTCTTGACGGCAACGCTTAAAGGACAACTATTTCAGGGCATGCACCTGGAATGTCCGGACAATCAATCGGAAAGCTGACCTTGCCAGACTGTCCTCATAAGGATAAAATCTGACATCAACGCCAGCCAAGAAATGTGCTCGACGGGGCAATTTAGAGCACCCGTAGAACCTTCGGGCATCTACTACTGCTACCATGTAAAGCAACAGAAATTCGGGGCCAGATTTGTGATAACAGAGAAACTCCGTTGCGGGTACTGTTGTTCCCCCCGCTGAATGAGTTTCTCACCACAACCCGGAGACTCTTCAAAATCTCGTGTTTCTATGCCAAACCCTAATGAAGGGGAAGGACGAGGCAACCAAAGACCTCTTCTCTGAACGCTTTAAATGCACATACGAGCATTTCTCCGACCTCAATGCCAGCCTTCAAGCCAAAAAGTACGATAACGGTCTGGAGTTGATCGACTTCATCGGGGTCCGAAACATGGAAAACTGCGGCACGAGGTTCCAGCATGAGAAATTTAACGGAGCTTCATGGCTACCTCCGGATCGAAAAACGAGAAACCCAAACGACCATGTTTTGATGGACGAAGACACGCTTCCAGTTCTAATTTAAATTTTCACCTTTTTGACCGCAAAATCAAAGTTTTTTATTTATTGCACGGTCTACTTCTGTCGTCTAAATCAGTGTTCACTTCACGCTGGCTAATGATGGTTTCTCAACTGCCAACAGAAATGCATTGATAAAAAATAAATAAAAAGCCTCAAAGCAGGGAAAGCACTGCTACCTGCGGTGTACATCTCTACTAACTCAACATGAATTACCTCTTCTTCTTAACAAAGATACGATTCACGCCTGGATATAGCCCTCTAGCCCGGATTCTGCGGTAGAAGCTTTTTATTATTTAGCAAAATTGGAGTATTTTGCCGAAGGCATATCTGGAAGTGCGGCGTTTAGAATTACAGGTATTACAAAAGTCAAGTAAGATAAATAGATCAATAGAAAGGAGTACATACTCTGGACATAACAAAGTTTTTATGGGATTTCGCCAATAGTTATGGCCAAAAAAAGTGGCTTAGAAATTTTTGTACGCTTCACACTAGGTAACCGCTAATTTCTTAAAATAGTGATCCTTAGCGAGATTTTCGGAAACATTTTTTTATTGGAGCCTTCTATTCTGCGAACATTGCGACCGGCATATGGATCGATAGGGGGGACTTTTGATATGTTGTACAAAAAAATAGTATACGAAGCTCAAACTTTCCGTTAATTTTTCTTAAGTTTGGCAACTCTACCAACTTTTTGCACGTATATTTCCATAGCTTCAACCCTTAAGCATTAATGCACACGAAACACAACGAATTACTAAACAGTAAAAAAAGGCATACTAAATATAAACAACAATAAATTGCCGCTATTTATGTGGCAGCTGCAAACCACGTGTTGCATACACCCAACAATAATTACAACAATGCTAAAATGCGATGTAAACAAACCGGCTACACAAAACAGAGCATGCTCTCAATGTAAAAAATCTCGCGCTCTTGCTCTCTTTTCGAAAGTAAGCCTGCGAGAGGCAGCCATCCATAGGGAAAAGCTTTCAGTTGGCTGCAAAGCATTTCACGGCTGTAAAGCTGCCGGCAAAAGAATTTTCCGCTACAGCAAATCGCCGCAGCCAACGAAGTGATGAAAATTCCGCCGAAGATGTTGACCAGTCAGTGTTTGGCAAAGCGTGCGCGTGAACAGTTCGCAATTTGTTAATGCGGCGCGTGAAAATGTTGAAAAAACATTATTTTTAACATTTAATTCCATGGAGAAAAAAAATCATTCAACGATAATAGTGCGTCTATAATATATAGTATTCGTAGCTTTTGATTGTACTTTAGTTGGAACAAATTTCGCGGCAAGTGTTTTAGTGAATATGCGGAATTGGTGAGTGAAATACGCGGAAAAAGTGTAGCAAGTGCCTAAGTAGTTTCAATACTGATGTGAATTGAACTAATAGAGTTGCGTATACGCCGTGTATAAATATTGAGTAGAAGAAAATATGTAGTGACTATAAACAGATTTTTTTTCGAATGCAATTTCAGCATTGTTGTTGTTTTACTTGGCAGCATTTAGCATCATTTCACGCGCAATTAAATCGCTGCAATTGCTGCCATCAGCGCGTTTGGCTTTGTATTGCTGGCCGGACAACCGGACAACCGGACAGCCGGATAGCGAACAGCCAACCAAACGGTCGAACGCGCGTCGAAATTTCGCGTTTAATTGATTGGAAAATCACATAATTTGGCGCACAAAATGACGCTGTTGAATTCCAGAAACTCGTATCTATTTTGTCATGCAATGGCCGCTTTCAAGTTGCAACACGTTGCTCCAGCGCGCCTATGAAAAGGTTATAAAAATCACGCGGCATTTAGTGGTTTTTGCATAGCAATTTTTTATAATAATAATTTCCCTTTTTTAAATGTTTTACCTCTATCTACTCCTTTCCCTCCATTTATGTAATTGCCAATTTATCTGTACGTTTGTTTATACAACTCTCAATAAGCCATTGTTTACTCACTCATCAATTAATTAATTATTAATTTGTGCGGAAAATTCTGCGCGCCGACATTGAGTCAACTGCACTCGCGACTGACTTCTGATTTATCTGCGTACATACTGCCACATACATACATACCTATGTATACATATACCCATTCACATACACATATGATCAGTGTTTATGGTTGCATGCATCGTTGCGCCCATTTAATACGAGTATGTGGCCATAAAAAGCATAAATTAAGAATACCACGCAAGTGTGTGGTAAACTTGAAAAAAAAATAAATAAATGAATAAAAATATATTCGCACAAATAAAATCAATTTAAAATAACACAATACAATTGATAAATGAATCGCAACTAATAACAAAAAAAAACCCTTGGCCATTTATGTAAATAAATCAACCATACCTTGTTTCCTTTTTGTTTTAGTTGAGTAGTGCATCAGCCATTTTTGCGAAAAGCGTTTGTCTATCTCTGCCATGGTGAATGATACCATCGACATTGCCTCGCATATTTTAGATTTTAATTTTGACTCTTCCGTGACACAACAGCAACAACAACAACAAAAACAACAAGAAACGTTACAACGTTCCGCTAGTAATAATACACTCAGAAAAAATCAACAGAGAGTGCATCAAAAATTAGCAAAACAGGATCAACAGGACAAGCGAAATTCTGTGAATCTACAAATTCTACCCAGCAGCGCTGAGAATTTAAGCTGGACATTTTTCGATCAAGTCTCTACTTTGGACAATCAATTACGCGGCGATGAAGAGGTAAATACACAATTCCTTTGACAACACTGTACTGACTTCGAATATGCCCAAAGGCTTCATAATTTCATGAATGTAAAAAAAAAATACCTTTTACTCATTTATTTCAAGCAAATACCCGGTGTAGTGCGCTGAGCCTTGAAAGTGCTTCTGTGTTGTTACTTAATCTCGCAATATCCAAAACTCATAGTTAATATTTTTTTGAAAGTATTTATAAAGAAGGGTGCTATTTTTGGAAGATACAGTATTTGCATATTTTTTGTACACGGTATCAAAAACGATAAATATCTAACAAATATTCTCTTTGAATTTAATTTTCAGGTGAAAGTCTTTGCCTACTCTCTATATGCATTTAAAAAAAATACGTTCACTAATTAGTAAAGAATATATACAATGTTTATATCGACACATAAGTAGCTTTAACTCAGTTCGAAGCGTTTCAAAATGGTTGCATAAACTCAGTTTCAACGCGTTGAAATTCAGAAGTGCGTTGACTGACATTTTTTTTTTTCAAATTAGTTTTTTATTTCTCAACTCGCACAGTGCCGCCTAAATGGGCATAAAACGAAACATTCGTGTCTGCAATGTGAATGGTTTGTTATTTTTGTAAAGGTAATTTATCCACTAGAAAGAATAAAACAGAAATTTCCTTATAAAATAAATGATATGCCGCCCAGAAGCCACTAAACTTAACAACTTTATACTAAGAATTTTAATCAGAGCATAGCCATGCGTTAGCTCTTCGCGGAAATAATAAATATCAAAAATATATTGCTTGAAATAAAATGTTGGTTTGACGTTTTTTATTTCCATATAGATAGTAGAGAATTACAGGAATTGAAATTTTAGAAAAAATAAATAAATACAGTGTCCTTACGCTATTCCAGAAAAGAAAATTTTATTTTAATAAAGTTTTCGAAAAATGGCCACTTTTAATGGAATGAATTGAAAATATATGTAAACATATGTTTCTTTTTATTACTATATTTAATAGTACGGTTGTTTTAGCTTCCAAAGCAGAAAATAAAAAGCTTTAATTTTTTTCACTTTTTGAAATAATGCGTTTTTTGCTAATCCATGAAATCATCTTTTCAAATCTTGGCAGTGCCATCAGAAACGTAAATTTCATGTTAAAAAGCATGGCCTGAAGATTTAAAATAAAGGTTTATTTTGTTTTTATTTGCCACTGTAAAAAAATTTAATTCAAATTATTTAATAATTTAAATGAATTATTAAAATATTGGCATCAATCAAAATGGGTGTGAAAGGGGTTTATTTTTTAACTACATGCAGCAGGATTGCCACCTCTTTAAAAAAATCGAATTCCATTTGAATTAAGCGAATTAGGTAATTGAAAAACATAGATATCACCATGTGGGAGTCAGAGGTTTAAGAAGGTTACGACTTACAAATTTTTTTGAAGAGGGTTGCCACCTGTCTGTAAAGTTAAACTAAAATAATAATTGTGTCAAGCAAAAGGTTTACGACATTTTATTACAAATATATACATTGTCAATCAGTGATTTTTTCTGATTAAATTCCTTTCAACCGAGCAAATTAATTGTTACCTATGCAAGAACCGCATTAGCAAGAAGCTGATTTAACTAAACACATATTTCTTTCAAACATTTACACTTGTGTCGTTATAGCGCACTTGCTGGAACCGTGTTCACAAATAAACAAAATTTGTTATTTTTATTCGATATTTCTTAAATAATTAATTTGCGCGGTGGACCTGAAATGGAAGCAAACATGAATTCAAATTTGTTATAATAATAATTAAAATTTAAAATGAGCTGTATAAAGAAGACCGGCCTTTTTTCACTTCGCGTCTAATGAGTGATGTGTTTATACCTATTTTCTAACCGATGTGAGAAATAAAAAAGCGATTCGAAAACAAATTCAAGTCAATACATTTTCGAATTTCGGAGCGTATTGAAAGTTGGTTTATGCTTCCGTTTTGAATCACAGCGAACTTGGTCAAAGCGCTTTATATGTCTGTATAAACAAGGTATATGATAGAAATAACGAAGAATAGCAGCAAATTTTATTTATTTTTAAATGCGGTTTCATCGAGTGCGCTATAAACGCTTGAAAGATATATGTTTTGCGTCAAATCGGTTTTTTATTAATGCGGTTCTTGCGTAGGTATAAACATGGTATGCTTTACAAATCGAATATTTTTATGAAAATCTCACTTTAAAAGTTTTTTAAAAACTATTTTATTTTTCATGAATAAGCCCATAAGAGTTTCTTGGATGTATGTACTATGTGGTTAGAGGGAGTAATAACACCAAAATACTTTGCAGGCAGCACGCCGGATATTTGATAATACATGTGTAGTAAACTCTTTCTTCATTAAAATTTTTTTCAAAGTTTCGCTTTTGAATAGGTGGTAGCCTTTGAAAACCTTTTCTAGTAAAGCTTTCCCGAACACTTCTCGTTCGGTACCATTCTTGGGATATTTCATTTAATAAGTTTTTATGATTTAGATAAATGGTTTAGGCGCATATGCAAAAATTTAGTTCATTTAATTTATGAAATTTTTGCACATCCATTTCTCAATTGCCGCATAATAAAACTATCTTAAGTTACTATTTGATGGCACTTCAAAGGATGCTCGGCTTAGTCTGACGCATCCTCCCGAAAATGCTTCCGGAGTCTTTTGCGGACTTTGCATGGCTTACAACCACACATAGGTGATAGATAGTGATAACCATTGGCCACAGTGCATACACACCATTTTATGTTCGAATAAATATTTTTTGTTTTTATACATATGTACATGCAAATATACTGGTCTCCCCACTCACTGAGTTTTTCTTGGTTCAAAACGCAATTGAAAATACATAATTTTAATTCAAAGATTTCTCAAATGCCTTTCGTTTGATGGGTGATATTTTAGTAATATTTGGTTTACCTAGTCAATTTAATTGAATTAAATTTTTCCGATAGGTGGCAACCCGCCTCAAAAATATTTTTGACAGTAAACTTTCTTGGTGACCGCTGTGGTTAAGCGATTATCAACGCGCTATCATTTAGCGGGGCCTGGCTTGGAGCACAGTTTCTGACCTTAGAGTCGGTATTAAATCGTAGGTCCCTCTCATTTGTGTGACAATATCAAAGCGTACGGCGCAAATCGGAGGAGAAGCTCGGGCAAACACTAACATATAGTGTAAGCGCCAATATATTGTTATTACTAAACTTTCCTTCTCTTGCTTTTGAAACCCATATTGCAATATTTAATTTGTCTTCTCCAATTAATTAAACTGATATTTTCCAACCGGTGACAACTCCAAATTTTTCAACAATCCAGGTATCATAGCGAACAAACTAAAAAAAAAAATTCTTTAAATCGGTTAAACGGTCTTGGAGTTTTTGCCTGTAGTACTTCTTGAATGTAAATAAATATATCTCATAATAGCCTTAGTTTTATGCACTATATCTTTTAATAAAATGCCAGAATATCACTTTAAAAAATTTATTTTCTAAATGACTAAATGATTAACCCCGAAAGTTGAATTATGAATTTTCACGGTGTTAAAAAATAGTTGGTTGTTTCACGTCCTCTAAACATGTAAATACATATTTAAGCTTTAAAAGTTTACGACATAAAACCGTACGACGCCGTTGTGAATACCCCAAATATAATTATTTTATATACATTCGATCCCAATTTTATAATATGAAATCCACTCTACCAAAACCATAAATTAGATAACACCGCACAGTGTACGATTTGGGAGTGTCGATGGACAAAATCGTAAATCTCTCTATAGGAATAAAATGGAAAAATATGCTTTCGAAAACTGCCATAAATGGCCTACAAGGGTAAAATAGTGCCATTATATAATCATTTTATAAAACCCCAAAAAGTTTGGATGAAAAATGAACCTTCAAAAAAATAAATAATTCATACCTTGCTGGCTAGACCCAAGGATTTGTGGTACGAATTTCAAATTTGAATAGAAAAGTATTGATTTTTGGAATTTTTAAATTTTCAGGCGATAAATTCAAAGTTAATCTCTTGTTGGTGATTAAGTTAACAAACGTTTAATTAAGCACTGTGAATCCGGCCCTTAGATGCTGGTTGAAGCTAGCCAGCAAATTATTAATTTTTTCGAAAGTTTATTTTCAACGAAATTTTTTGGGGTTTCAAATAATGACAATATAATGGAACTATTTTTTCCTTATAGGCCATTATTTCAGCTTTCGAACCCATATATTTCCATATTTTTATCTTATTCCTATCGAGAGATTTGCGATTTTGTCCATCGACACTCCCAAATCGTACAAAGTGCCTATAAATATCTGCCTTTTAATCAAAAAATTCTTTATTGAAACTATTTTATTTTCTTTTAGCATGCATTGCTACGTCTTTATATCTGAGTGGAAATAAATATATGTATGTATCTCTTAAAGGCAACCTTACTCTGCCGATTTTTAAAAGTCATAAAATTTGAGAAAAGCCTTCACTGTTTACTTACTTATTTAAGAAGTAAACCAAATGTCACCCAACCCAATGTTGCGCTTTATAATATGATATTATCAGTATACTTAAGTAAATGTATGTATTTATGAATGTACGTATTCGAACAAAAGCCATTGAGTGAGTTCTAAGCTACCAGAAGTATTCTTAAATAATAAAAGGTGTGATGCATAGTATTTCGGCTCAGATTGCGCTATCCTTTGCTGCAACACTTTTAAAAAGATCAAATATCTGAAGCTAATTTTATTAATCCCAAAGCTCACCTGTCTATGAAAGCAGACTATAAAATATCTACCAATTTGATACTACACACACTTGGTGGCAACTAGCAAGCGCACATAATCGGCTGTTGTAACAATTTAAAACAATTTGAGATACCATGAAATCACATAGCTGGCAAATTGTAAGGAAAATCTAAATATATGTGTACACAAATGCATAAGAGTGCCACATGCATATATTTAAGCTAAAAGTACCTATCGTTTTGGAAGAGAATGAAAATGTTATTCATTTT